ACTATACTCTATTCCTATTCATTTGCTAGTTTGCAATTCTATTTTTAGCGTAAGGGTTATCACGGCTGTGATGGTTTCATCTAGAGCGATTGTCAACTTTCAATCTAATATACTGAAATGTATGTATGTACTGAAACTTTTTCTAGATATTTCTGACGATTGATACGTTAGTGTAACCTAGCTTTTATTTATTTGATTGTACTATAAGTAAATTTTAATGTATACTATGATGCTTAGTAATTTAGTTGTAGTACTAATTGTATTTAAAAAAATAGTAATTATGCGATAAACATATCTATTGAAATAATACTGAATAAATAATAAATAAAGTTTTCTTTTTTTAGATATATTATTCAACACAACTAGAACCTAACCATTTCAAAGGCGGATTCAAATCCGTAATTTGAACCAAATCAAATTACGAATTTGGATAAGTTTACGATTCTATTGCAATTGTATATAGAATAATCTAGTAAAACTTTTTTATCTTATAGGCTGTACAATATAATAGATTTTATTTCAAAGATAGCTTACATAAAAGGAACATTTTTATGCTATAATGAGAAGATTAATTTTATATCTAAGAGAGGTCTAGTCCATCTCATTTATAGCATAAGAGAATTTAAGTCTTGATAAATGAACATTATTAATTACTTAATTTACTTAGCTGGAATTGAATTCTTGAGTTATTTTCCTAGGCTCTGACTTGGACATTGGCTTAATTGGTCTGAACCTTTGCTTTTAATAAATGACCACACAGTACAAGAAGCCAAACGACATTAATTTTAAAAGCGAATTCGAATTGTAATAAGTATCTATCTACCGAGTACGGAGGCGGGCGATTACTTCTCTAAGATCCGATAATGCCGTCGTTTTTCTTCCATAATCTTGAAAAACTGATGCAGCCCGAGCATTACGCGAATGGCTACAAAAACGTTTTCCTAACTAATATAAATAAAACGTTTCGCTACTGTGTTTTATGTTTTCTTTATGGGGGAGTTCTTCTTTCACTGTCCAGCAGTGAAAAGAGAAGGTTTTATTGGTCAGTCAATCCGTGTACCATATTGTACGGCGTGTAATGAAAACCTTTTTTATTGCATTCATTCAGTGCAATATATTTACTTTACCTATATATTAATTATTTTATTAGTAACTTAAACACGCCAAGTTAAAATACCTTTAAGTTGTGTTCGAGTTACTAAAAAAAGAAAGGTTCTTAATATAAAATTGTACTGTATTTGGTGATTCGTTTTGAAATTGGTAAAGTTAGTTTCTTCAGTGTTATTCTATAATTAGTCGGACCCCTAATATATTTCTTATTAATGTTGGATATTTATAAAAATCAAGTGTAAAATCCTATTAGTAACTATACTGCAGTACAATTACTTCTAGAGTATATTGCTGTGATATGTGAATGAGTGGAGACGAAAGGTTGTTTGGAAATAGAACTATGAGACTGAGATAGAACTATGAAACTTTTTTCTTTTGTTTTTTATAAATAAACAGCTATCCAAAGTCGTAGGCATGGACGAAGATGCGGGCACAGCTTGTAAATTATATATCTTATATGGTCCTGTATTGTAATGGTTCGTATAATTAAATTAACAATGTAATTTGTTATAGAAAGGTACGCGTGTCCGCCTGCGGTTCGCGTAATGACCAATACCACGTCGGTCCTATGTTACCCGCAAACCAATTTAAACTCATCCATAAAATAAATTGTTAAATGTAGGTATCTATTCAGTTATGCACCACAAAATTCTATTGCAATTAATTAGTGTTATAATAAAATAATAACAATAAATTAGGACGATTAAAACAGCGCTATCGAGTTTCGAGCTAAGCAAAGCCTGTGTCATATAACGGATAGAATACATACATAATGTACATAGAAAATACCCAGACAAGTACAATGATTGTTACAAAGTGTATAAAATTTACACTTCCTAATGTAAGACTAATAAATACACAGTTATTGCTTAATGACGAAATAGTAAATTTTGTTAATGATACAGTTTTTTAGGTATAACAGTGGACTCGAAATTACAATGGGGGCCCCATATTTCAAAATTGGCCAGTAGACTCAGTTCTGCTGCATATGCAATTAGAAGAATTAGGCAATTAACAGACGTGGCGACGGCTAAACTTGTATATTTTAGTTATTTCCATAGCATAATGTCTTATGACATACTGCTGTAGGGTAAAGCAGCCGATATAAATACTATATTTGTTTTACAAAAGAGAGCCATACATTCTATTTATGGTATGGGTTCAAGAGAGTCATTAGTCAGTGCTTTAAAGAATCAAATATCCTCACCGTTACTTAATTTATGAAAATATCTTGTATACACGGAAATACTTAGAGAGTTTTAAAAAACTCAAAGTAGAAACTTACGCAATATAAATAAGTAAATTTTACCTAAATGCCGTCTGCACAAAATCAGTAATTCATTCTATGTAATTGCGTAAGATTTTATAATAAACTGCCAGAATCTGCATTAAATCTGACAGAGAGGCAATTCAAATCTTATATTAAACAATTTTTATGTAAGAAAGCCTATTACAGGATAGACGAATTCATAGATGACAACATATCAAGTAAATAATTAGTTTATTAGCATACAACGTTATAATTTAATTTTCTCATTGCTTTCTTGATTTAATTGATTGATTTTAGAAATATGAAAGCGTATTTTTTTTGTATTGATTGCCGCATGCATTCTTATGTAAAATGTGAATACTATAACTATCAGATGGCAATTATAGTAGCTTTGACGTGGTCTAGTGTTTTGAGTAGTCATGCTCACTAAAATGTCCAGACTTGTGGCGACGTGGTGGGCCGGGTCATTGGGCTCCCTAAAATATGGTCGAGCGCAGTGATGGCTGGCTCATCCGTCATACTCGTGAACGGGTGCTGCTTGTAGCGACTGGTCTGCTCTAATGTCTATGACTGATTTCCTTTTTTTTGTAGTTGGTTATATATTCAATATTTTTTCTATTTGAGTATTTAATTGAATTAGTGCTAATTGGTGGCTTGTATTCACACACTTAAACTTAAAAATGTAAAGTAATAATAAAATTATTTAAAAGAGCAACACGCAAGTTTCTTGCTCGTTCTTCTTGTGATGAGACAGCTTTCCGAACGAGCGGTAGATTAAAAAAATGTGTTCGACCAATATCAATTAAAGTTCTCAATATTTATACTAGATGGCGCTAGGTGAAATGTACAACGCGCTAAAGTTTCGTTTTCTTTGATTATGACCACTGTACGGAATTTTATAATTATCGTGTTCGATTTTACACCTGAATATATGTTTGTTTACTATCCAATTCGGTGTTGTTTGATTTCTTGGCCTCGAGTAAAACATTGGCCTTCGACCCGGACAGTGGCGACCTCTAGTGGTACTTTAGTGAAGTGAAGTTCGGTGGTGAGTGAGCTATGATTTAGTGTCGTAAGTAGCTGGGACGAACTGTAAGTACAATCAAGTTATTATTGGTTAGGAGTAGCTTAGGGACTTAGAAAAATAATTAGTGAACTGGACTTAGAATATTTCGCCAAAATTGTGTGAGACGGGGAACCTATGCCCGAAAACACAGCGAAATAAATGCAAAAAACACTTGTAAAATTTTCGGGTTCTAATAAAAAACTTAGAAAAATTTGTGATTTTAAATATTGTAACATTCAGTGATTATTGAACTAACTCTAATAACTTGAACTTTAGTAATCAGTGCGACATTGTGAATAGACATTTGTATTTTTTTATGCTCACTCACCCAGTGTATCGTTTAAGACTCAGTGCAAACGGTTATTAATTGACTTTCAACTTTCAATTGGCAATTTACTAAAACAAAAATGGAAGGTTTAATGAAAATTCAGAAAAGTATTCAAGATAAAATAAATAAAAATTATAGCAATTATAAAAAGTCAAAAAGTCGTAGTTCATATGGATATTTTGCAGAGAGATTAAATATTTTAAATAATAATTGGCGGGAAAAAAATCATCGGAATATTTTAAAAGAAGCCGTAGATACAGACAAAGATATAAGTTATTTTAAACTAAGTCTATTTGATGAAGTTGAAGAATTATATGTTGAATTTAAATGTGCACTCCAAGATTCTATGGCATTATTAAAAAAAGATAACCAAAGGAAAAAGAGGAGAACAGTAAAGATCAATCTTCAAACTCGCCTTCTGGAAGTAGTATTGCTCATTTACCACGAATTTCTTTACCAATTTTCTCAGGAAAATATTTGGAATGGCAGTCTTTCCATGATTTATTTGTTTCTATGATCGACAGTAATACATCTTTAGCAGAAGTTCAGAAGTTGCACTACTTAAAGGCACACCTCAGTGGAGAAGCTGAACAGATATTACGTCATATCCCAATCACAGACGCTAATTATACACAGTGTTGGAATAAGCTAAAAAAGAGATATAATAATAGGCGCTATATTGCTAATTCAATTCTCACGAGACTGGTCGGTCAAATTGATGACAGAGTCTGCAAACGGAATCAAGCAGTTACTGGACACAACAAATGATTGCCTGAGTGCATTATCTAATATAGGAGTCAATACATCTTCTTGGGACATTATCATTATACATCTTGTGTCATAAAACTAGATAATAGTACTATATCAGTGACCACTCAGACATATTACCAACGTTAGAGGAATTCAATAAATTCCTAGAATGCAGGTTTTTGGCTATGGAATGTCTTCACAATAACGAGAGAAATGATGATAAAGTAGAGAGACCAAAAGTTTTTAGTGTTACCGCAATCTCCTGTTCCTTTTGTATCATCTATTATTCCAATGTGAAAAGTTTTGTAATGAGAGTTATGAAAGTCGTCATGAATTTATTCAGAAAAATAAATTATGCTTCAACTGTTTTGGAAGTAATCATCCAGTGAGCCGATGTAAGAGACGTACCACTTGTAGGCGTTGCGGACGGCGACATCACTCTGCACCCTGAGGGAAATTCGAGTTCATCGACTAATATGGAACTAAATCAAACGAATGAATCCGAGCACAAAGAGCAAGAAAATGTGCAGAGAGAGGAGGTTCAAGAATCAAGTCGAATTTCAACACATTTTGCTAATGGCTCAATATCATCACCTGGTCAAGTAATGTTGGCTACGGCTTTAGTACACGTAGACACTAATAGAGATTGTTATACACTGCGAGCATTACTGGATCAGGGTTCTCAAGCCTCATTCGTTACGGAGCGTGTTGTTCAATTATTAGGGCTTCGTAAAATTCCTTTCAAGGGAATAGTATCTGGCTTGGGTGGAGATCAGTTTAACTTATCCATCAAACATATGGTCATTTTTAAGATACAGTCCATTTATACCTCGTTTAGTTATGAAATTCAGGCCTATGTTTTGAACGCTTTGTCATCCAGTTTACCAGCTCAAAAACTTAATATTCAAGATTGGCCAGAATTATCAGGTTTAACTCTGGCTGATCCCGGTTATGGTACACCTAGTAAGATAGACTTGTTGCTAGATGTTTATGGAATGATCCTAACGAATAATATTATTAGAAAGGGCAGTGTCACTGCTCAAGATACACAGCTGGGGTGGATATTATCCGGTAGAGTAGAAGTAAACCATCATTGTCATTCCAGCATAGTTAGCATGCATTCGCTGGATAATTCTGATGAGATATTGCGTAAGTTCTGGGAGTTGGAGTCTGGTAAAGAGCAGAATTTCATGTCAGAAGAAGATAAAGCTTGTGAAGAGTATTATGAAAAGACTACAACCAGGGATGAATCAGGTCGTTATGTTGTGCGACTAGCGTTTCGCAAGAATAATCCTGATTGTGAACAAGGAGATTTTAAAGAAATAGCTAAAAAGAGATTACAAAGTTAGAAAAGGATATATAATAGAAGAATATATAGATATGAATCACATGGAACTTATAACTGAAGAAAGAGAAAAGGTTAGAGCAGATGCCGTTTACTTACCGTTGTTAGTTGTTGTTCGGTTAGATAAATCAACAAAAATAATGGTAAATCATTGAATGATGACCTACTTACCGGTCCACGATTGCAGGGAGAGATCTATTGATGATGGCGTACTTATCCAATTTGTTTGTGGCATATCATCAAGATGTACCGGCAGGTTAAGGTACATGACGAAAAGATTTCAGCGAATTCTGTGGAGACACAATTCAAACGAGCCCTTCAGGGAATACCGTATCCTGAGAGTAACTTTTGGAGTTTCTTCTGCGCCTTATCTTGCAGTAAAGTCACTTCAACAAGTCGCCAAGGATGAAGGCAAGCACTAGCTGATAGAGTACTGCAAGATTTTTATATGGATGACCTTATGTCAGGTTGTCAGACGGAAGAGGAAGCAGTTGATATATACAATCAAATGGTCGTTATTAGAAAGAGGTGGATTTAAATTGCAGAAATGGGCAAGTAATAGTCCAATGCTTATGAGGAAATTCAAGAAGACATAAAAGACAGAAACTTGGTGATTAAGACAAATTTGGTCAAAATAAGCAAATGTCTCATCTGATGAATTTGAGTACGTAATTAAATTACATCCACAAAAGCAGCCAATTACAAAGACAGTTTTTATCCGATATATCTCGCCTTTTTGATCCACTGGGTTGGATTGCACCGGTTATTATTCAAGTATTACATTCAAAAGCTCTGGCTTGCAGGACTTGGCTGGGATGAGGAAGTGCCATCTGATCTGCTAGATAAATGGATTTCATTTCGAGAAGAATTGCCAAAACTATCATTACCTCGGTGGATGCAATACCACTGACATAGAAATCCACGGATATTGTGATGCCTCCAACGATGCATATGGTGCAGTCGTTTATTCTCGTATTAAAGACAAGTTTGGAAAGTTCATGTTAACTTGATAAGCGAGGACTAAGGTTGCTCCCATTAAGCAGATCTCTAATACCTCGTTTATTTGTGGCGCGGTACTTTGGCAATTATATAGGTATCAGTAATAATTCGATTACGTGCTTGGACTGATTCAACCATAGTTTTAGCCTGGTTGAAAGGCGAACCAAACCGTTGGAAGACGTTTGTCGCCAACCGAGTAACTGAAATATTAGAGGTTTTAGACAGCAGTCAATGGTCACATATTGAGTCTAATCAAAATCCTGCTGACTGCGCGTCTCGAGGATTGAGGCCAGGGGACTTGATCGAGCATGGATTATGGTGGCATGGACCGCAGATGTTACATGAATCCTATTACGAGTTTCCTCTAATTGAGAATTTGTCTACTGATTTGGAGAAAAAAGCCATTAAATCTTACCTTGCTGTCTCAGATCGAAGTAATGAAGAACTGCCTGTCTGGACTAAATATTCATCACTCAATAAGATGATAAGAGTAATTGGTTTTTGTTTGAGGATCGTTAATAAACTGAAACATAGAAAATTGTTACCTTCCTATCTTAAGCTGCTGAATTAAATTATAGTCTGAACATTTGCCTGAAACACTGCCAAAGCTCATCCTTTCCCATTGAAATTGAACAGTTGATGAAGTGTCGATCCATCCCAAAAGGTAGTAAAATATTGTCTTTGTGTCCATTCCTAGATGATAAACATATAATGAGAGTACGTGGACGTATAGAGCATAGTCAAGAAGATTATGATGCGAAACACCCTATAATCTTGCCGCGTGATCATCATATCTCTAAGTTAATTGTAGCAGATGCTCACGAGAAAACGCTGCATGGCGGACCACAATTAATGCATAATTATATCAGTACCAGGTACTGGATTATCAACGTGAGGAGTATAATTAGAAATATATTAAGAAGTGTATTACATGTATTCGATATAGTACCTCGTGCCAACAACCCTTCATGGGTGATTTACCAAGCTCACGTGTTACAGCGAGCCGTCCATTTAGCCGAAGTGGAGTTGACTACTGCGGTCCTATCAACGTTAGAATATCCAAGGGTCGCGGATGTCGATGCTTCAAGGGCTATGTATGCCTTTTCGTGTGTATGGTGACACGCGCAATCCACTTGGAAGTGGTAAGTGATATGACGAGTGAAGGATTCATTGCAGCTTTCAAGAGATTCGTGGCTCGTCGAGGCCACTGTCAGGAGATTTGGAGCGACAACGGCACGAACTTTGTGGGCGCATCAAAAGAGCTACGTGTTTTATTTAAGGCTGAAAAGTCGAGTATTTTAGATGAAGTTGCTCAATGTTTAGCAAATACAGGAACCGAATGGCATTTTATACCTCCCCGCGCTCCGAATTTCGGGGGTATCTGGGAGGCAGGGGTTAAATCAACAAAGTATCACTTGAAACGTGTGCTTGATGGTACCACCTTAACCTATGAGGAGCTTTCCACATTGTTGGCCCAAGTGGAAGCCTGCTTGAATTCTAGACCTATGTATAGGTTACCCACTAGTCAGGAGGATAGTTTGCCTCTCACACCAGGCCATTTCTTGATTGGGGAACCGCTTATTACAGTTCCAGAAAATAATTACATGAACCATAATAGCAGTATGTTGCGTAGATGGCAACTCATGCAGAAACTTACTCAAAATTTTTGGCGTAAGTGGTCAAGAGAATATCTCACAACACTTTGCAACAGGTATAAATGGACAAAAGTTACTCCTGAACCTCAAATAGGCCAAGTTGTTTTAATTAAAGAGGATGATCTTCCTCCAAGTAGATGGTTGTTCGGTCGAATTGAGGAAAAGCACCCTGGTCCAGACAATATAACTAGAGTTGTCACCTTGCGTTGTAAAGAAAATTGTATTAAAAGACCTGTATCGAAACTTTGTATTTTGCCAGTTGTTCAATAAGTTGTTATATAGTATTAAGTCTGCATGTCTAAATGTGTATTTTAAAATTGATTATTCTGTAATTGTTTAATTTGTGTAATTGTGCTTTGTTTGTTTTCTTTTAATTGTTTGGCATTTAGTAAGGATTTGTTAATGCGTTGTTTGTTTTTGTTTGTTTCATTTGTTTTAGTCACATTGTTAATAGAGTATAATTTAGTGTTTGATTCTTGCTGATGTACGAAGTATCTAGCGAAGATATTTGTTGTATTCATTACGATGTTTAGTTCTATTTCTCTAGATATGTATATTCATTTAAAAAAAAAATAATTGGGTGCCTACTTTATTAGTTGTGTATAAATGTCATGGTGGGCGGTCATTAAGAACACTAGTTCTTGGTGGGCGGAATTTTCGACCAATATCAATTAAAGTTCTCAATATTTATACTAGATGGCGCTAGGTGAAATGTACAACGCGCTATAGTTTCGTTTTCTTTGATTATGACCACTGTACGGAATTTTGTAATTATTGAGTTCGATTTGCACCCGAATATATCTTTGTTTACTATCCAATCCGGTGTTGTTTGATTTCTTGACCTCGAGTAAAAAAATGTAATGACTATTCAAAAGTGCTTCAATGTAAGTTTATTTGAATAAATGATTTTCTATTCTATTCTATTCTTTACTTTTACTTATGAATACAAATGATTGTACTATGCAAGAAAACGAAGCCGCGACCATCAGAAAAAGGGGTGTTCTAAACCGCTACACCGTCGAGGCCATCATAATAATATATTAAAATATTTATTTATTTAAAAAACTGTCCTATTTAAACTTGGTAAAAAGCATTCTTTATCAGTTAACCTTTGGGATGAACAGTAACTTCGATAAGGGTACATAATTTACAAAATAGGTGAAGATAACAACTAATTAATAAACATATAATTGTGACGGTAAGAATGTTATAAATATATTTATTTTATTTATTCATTTATTTCAGGCAACTAGGCCCATATTATAAATACCTTATAGACTAACATACATATAATATAATATTTAAAAACTAATACAATAATATTGTCTGTGTGATCACGGCACTAAAGACGGCAATCTGCCGTATATATACACACATTTATATATACTATGTCTAAGTATTGTTGTTTACATTTATAACTTTGTATAAAATATTTAAAGTGGTACATTTTTAGTTTCGAACTACTCTAATTCTGACGAGAGGGAGCAAGTCCAGATGGCACTTTAAATCCGCGGAAGGACTTATGGAGCGGCTAAAGGCCAACTCCCGCTTGATGGATATGAATTTAGTCTGAAAGCACCGCTAGGAGTTCCAATCTCATCTCTGGCCGTCGTAATTTTGATCACCGTTGAATTGGCCCATGTAGTGTAACCACAGATAACATAATATTGTGTAACTAACATTATTTAAGTATGCATATATGTATTGATTCTTGTACTATTTTATGCATTCTCCTTCAAATGAATGAGCTGTTTGTATTATAGGTGACACGTATACACAGTATATATAGTGACACGTGACAGTTACGCTCAACAAAAGCTTTCACTTTGATATCATTAGTGATCTGAAAATAACTAGCTGTATTTCGTTTATTGTTAAAGTATAGTCCAATGCTGAGGTTCCATAAAATGAATGCGAATAAAAAATAAGCAAATGCGAAGTAGCTACGAACAATGCAGACATTGCGGATTCAACTTCCTGAATTGTGTCCTTTGCATTGTCTAGTTGTTGTATTTTAACATTACTATTTATCTATACTGTAGTTTGGATATAACTTTGTTCTCGCTTTTATATGTAAATTGTATAGTAATAATTTGATTAATTAGATAAATTAAAATAAATCAGATCACTAATATGTATTAGGTACTTATATTATATATAATAATAATAATATTAATGATATACAAATTTGAGCGCTATTATAGATATATTAATTGTAGGAATGTTTACGACTAAATTGGATTTATAAATAGTTACCATACAATTATTAAAATTAAATTCTGTAACAGATTGAACATAATTATTTCATGATTCATTTACGCTAAAAAGGGTTTGTAAATTCTTAATAAAT